GCTCCCCTTTCATGTCCCTCTGCATTTGCTCAAACAAAAAGAAGTTGCATGGAATGAGGTAAGGTGTGTTGGGCAAGAGAGGCATGCTGGTTTTTGGCTAAAAACTGGTGCACTGAGATGGCTGTGTGAGCCGGTGCACTGTCATGGTGGCAAAACCAATCCCCTATCTGCCACAAATCAGGCCTTTTCTGTTGTACACTGTTTGCTGTCTTTTCAGAACCTCTAAATAGAAAGCTTGATTAACAATCTGACCTGGTAGAACAAACTCCAAATGCACTACCCCCCTCACACCAAAGAAAGAAATGAGCATTGTCTTGATCTTTGATTTCACTTGACGAGCTTTTTTGGGGTGAGGTGACAATGGCCCCTTCCACTGGCTTAATTGATGCTTGCTTTTGGGGTCATAAGAATAGCACCATGTCTCATCATTAGTAATGACCTTCGGGGGGAAAAAAAGCCTGGGTCACTTCAGAGCTGTTCTTCCAAAGCACAGCATGTTACCACTTGACGCTCTTTTTCCTGGTCAGTCAGAACCCAAGGCACACATTTCACAGCGACCCTTATTCCCAAATCTTTCATTACAATTCGCTGGACTGAGCTCCAAGATAGTCCAGATAACCTTCCCATCTCTTCAGTGGTCCGTTGTCGGTCATGGTCTTGAAGCACAAGTGCATGGATGTTGTCGACATTTTTGTCTTTTCAGGAAGTTGATGTCCAAAATGAGGTTTGTCATCAATCAACATTTCACAGTGTTTTGAAATGAGAAAACCACTCGTACACTTGTGTGTTCAACGTCACAACAGTTTCTGTGGCATTTCTCTGAGCAGGAAACACAATTTCACAGCCTCATACTGTTCCCTTAAATTGCCATCTCAAAAAACAAGGTTCCACCAAAACTGCTTTCACAAAAAAATTCACTGTGACCAGAGAAATTTCCCAGGTGACACCACTGGGTGTACTTGTACTTACAAGTTGCCTAGTGGGGAAAAATGTGTACTGTGAAAGCTCTGCCCAGTGGAGCTTTTTCCTGTGTTGTTTTTTTTTGGGGGGGGGTACCCCCTAGTATATGGTTTTTTTCAGACTGTAAATCTTTAGGGAAGCAGTTTGCCAGGTATTTTCGCTTGTGGAGACACAGGGACTTGAGCTTCTGACCTTTTAGCTAATAGCCAAGTGATTTTATCATTGTGCTACTAGGACTTCTAGCCTTACTTTTTTATATTTATAAATTCAATTTTGACAGAAAATGGGCAATATCAGGAAAGTACAAAAATTAGTGGTGGAACCAGTGAGTGCTCAAGAGGTTCAAAGATCTGGTTGAGGAAAGCCCTGTGAAACAACTGGTATGATACAGATACCTTGAAGTTAAAGGAGCAAAAGATTGTAGGCAGAATAATAATGATGAGGATGTAGGGCTTATTATAGGTCAACGATTAGATTGAGGAATGTAGATGTCTATAAAGAATATACTACAAAGCCAAAATATAGAGCACTGAGTATCAGACAGGAATTTGAATTATCCCTTAGTTTTGAGAAATTGGTTGGGCAAAGTAAGCAAACAATAATTCTTTTCAAGTTGGCTCTGAATTTAAACTCCATATGGATATTTTTTTGAGTAATCTCATTTATTGGTTTATCTAGATCTCAACTCCCCAAATTAGGTATTTTAACATTTTATGGGTAGAAGTGGCATCTTAATTCAAACATCCTATGCTTTTTAGCTGTTGGAAGTTTTCTTACTAAACACCAGTGAATGCCTACCTTCTTCCCTTTAGTAGTTTTCTTTCCTTTTCCAGAAATCCCCGTTTGCCATATATTGCATGCTCCTATCCATACATCAAGTCTAGTTCAAGTTCCACTTCTTCTAAAAATGCTTTACCATATTATCCCACCAATAAGTAAGTTTTCAATGATTGTAGCTTCTTTCTTGTAATTTCTAGTTTTGAACATGCCTTTATTTCTGTCTAGACTGTAAGCATCACCTTACTTGAAATCTTACATGTAATAAACACCACTTAAAAATACATGTTTTTTGTTTAACATCTAGGATGTTAAAGTAGGGAAGGAATGATTAGAAAGAAATGAAGGAGCAGTGTAGCAAAAACTTAAAAGTAGAAATTAGAAAGGAAATGGGAAAGAATAAAAAACAAGGAAGGAATAAAAAGTGTAAAACAGGGTTTTTCTTTGGATTCACTCATTTCATAATGCATAGTCACTTTTAGTTGCTCAGTGTCAGAACCATTTATGTTTTACTACCAGGAATACTGTGGGTTCTCTGGAGCACATTAGTAATAATTTGATGCTCCAATTTGAAACCTATTATAATGGCTTTTGAGAAATAATAGTTTTTAGCATTCAAATTTTAATAGCAAAGCACATTGTTGTGATAACAGTACCATAGGATTACATTAAATAAGGACAAGAAAGTTCTTTGAAGTAATTTCTACCCCTTTGTAGGTTTGGAGTGAAACTTTGCATTTGTTTGTTCACTACATTAGAATCTGAGCTATTAAATGCTTAGATAATAATTTTTTTTAAATCAGTTTGTGAGCAAAGTTTTTAGAGCTGTTTAAAATTTCCTCTTATGGATAAAAACTAATCGCTTGTCTAAACATAGGTAAATAATTACACTTTTTTGCTTAGTATGGAATAGCATGGTCATTTTAATGTTTTGGTGCTATGTGCCATAAGCTAAAGAAGTGTATATGTTATTATTTACCTAGCTTTCAGGCAAAGCAAATAACATTTACTGGTGTGATAAATACATAGAAAGCTTATACTGCAGATTTTTAAAGTGATAAATTACCACTATATGAACTTCACTTGACAAACCGTTTTCTGTAAATAAGTGGTATGTTGTTATCCACTGATAGTTCACAGCTATTTCCATTTTTCTTTAAGAATTAGGTCATCAGTATTATTGAGCTCCATACAGGGGTATTACTTCAGGGTAAGATCTAGAAAGTGGGTTTGTATGTAGCTGTGCATTTTAGAGCCACGATAATCTAGTGGTAGTTTGGGCTCTGATTTCTGCTACTGTGCAACCTTGGAAATGTCTTACCTCTCTGAGTCTCTGTCTTTTCACATGTGAAAGGGAAATAGACTCATTTGTTTATTCAACAAGTAATAAATATTGAGAGTTTTACTGTAAGCAGAGATCATCCTATGTGAATCTGGGTTGACTAGAGAAACAAATTCATAGACACTCATATATGTATAAGAAAAAACTTTATATCCAAGAGTAATTGCATATTAAGAAAACATCCCAACCCAGTCCAGATCAAGTGCATAAATCCGATATTAGCCCATATACCCAATACAGTCTATAAATTACTCTTCAGACTCACACAACACGTGCAGTGATGCCGAATGCAGGACGATCACAGGCCAGTGGGTGGAAAGTCTTGTGGCTCCCTTGGCAGTGGAAGCAAATCATCTCAGATCCACGTGGCTCCTCTAGCTTCAGGGTCTTGCTCAATCAGTGTAGCTCCATGTCACGTAAAGTGACATGACGTCCTGCTTTTGGTGTGACAGTCCTGATTTTTGGAAAGAATGCACGACAAGCTAGGGAATGGTCTATTTGGTCCATATAGACCACCCCACCCCTGGTCAATGGTGTCCCGCTTTAAATCTGGTCACCTTATAATATGTGTCTTGCCAACAGGAATGTCTTGCAGAGAGTGTGTTCCACCTCCCAGGAGGAAGATAGGAGTTCCCAGAATCCTCAGGAGAAGGCCATGCTCACAGAGGCCTGATTGACAGGCTAGACTCCACCCCTTCGCAAGTTGACATATTAGGTCACTGCCACACATCCCGTAGTTTTGGATAATGGTAGTGCCTTTTTCAGAAGATCATTGAAAGATTATTGTGAATGTGTATCAAATAATTCTCATAGTACTTAAAATGTAGTAAGCAATTGACAAATTTTAGCCATCATTATTAAAATATTTCAAATATTTTAAAGTTGTCTGAGAGCAAAATAGTTTCAGGGAATAATTATGTCATTAATGTGTTTATTGATAACCTACTTTCTAGCTTTTAAACAGAATTGTTATGACTAGTCCAGAATCAGCTATATTAAATTCTAATTTAAGAAAATGAGTGTTCTTCTACACCTTTTTTTCTCATAATCTCTTTATTAAAACAGTTTAGGTATAGTTCTTTTCCAGTATACATAGATATGCCTATTTATACCGTGTCTACATTAAAACCTGTGAAAACTAGAATTTATGTAAGATGGAAACCTATAAGAAAAGAAAATTAAAATATTTCCCCCTAATAGTGGAAAACTTGGGAGATCATTTTGATTTGTTTACATAAAAGCATTTGCTATGGATAGGAAAACATTCTTGTTTAAAAGTTTGGTTAATCATGCCATCTAGTAGTTATAGTAATTTAGTTGATTTAAGATTTTAATGTGTTTTATAATCTTTTCCTAACCGTTTTTATAGTTTGTAGAGTTTCATCTCTATATATGAACCTTGGTTATTTTAGAAATAATAGCAACCACAATATCAATTGAATACTTGTTTTTGCAAGACTTTGTTGTTAAAGACACTAAATATATTTGAAAACTATGAGGTAGACATTATTATCCTCCATTTTCAGATGATGAAACAGACACAGAACGGTAAATTAATTGACCCAGGTTTGCTTAGCTAGTAAGGATTATAGTCAGGATTCAAAATTTGTGCTCTTAATCTTAACCACTGTCAAATTCCTCATTTGCCTCTCCCAGATTTAAAAATTATATTACCTATGAAAATAATATCATAATAATATTCATTTTTTTAAAAGTTGATTTAACTTGAGTATTTATTGAGCTTTATATTAAAGAGCCCTATTGGTACTATGGGCTACAGGTTGGGCTGTTCAAACTCACTGGCTACTCTGTGGTAAAAAGAAAAGGCTTCTAAAAAAGAGAGAGAGAGAGAAGGCTGTGTGCTCCCATGGAGATTTACAGTTGTCTGGTTTTGTGGTTGATTGTTTAATAATGAATTTAGCTAAAATCCATTATAATGCTCACACAAGAATTAATTTCATCTTCTTTCTCATTCTTCAGTAAAATAAAACAGGGTCTGTTACCTAGTTTGGAAGATTTGCTGTTCTATACAATTGCAGAAGGACAAGAGAGAATACCAGTTCATAAATTTATTACAGTAAGTTTTAATAATTTTCTATCCTAATGTTTTAAAAAATTAATAAAGTTGTGCTATAAGACAGCATCATGGAAATACAGTTATAAAGGCCATTTGGCTTGTAGATTATGATTGACACGTTTCTCTCATGTTCACATTTTTATCATGCTCATTTCAAGGTAATCTGTGAAAGAAAATGAAAGAAACGATGAGAAACTTGTCCAGAAATTGGGTAATAGTGATGCCAAAGTGGCAAATAGATGATCAAGTTTTGGGAAGAAGTTTTTATATACAGAAATAAAAACTTGTAGTTGGAATAAGCATCTACATTATTTGCACTATATATTTACAAACTCTTATTTTTTCAAAAACAGGCACTCAAATCTACAGGATTGCGAACGTCTGATCCCAGGTTGAAAGAGTGTATGGATATGTTAAGATTAACTCTTCAAACAACATCAGATGGTGTCATGCTAGACAAAGATCTTTTTAAAAAGTAAAAATTTCTGCCAAACCTCTAATGGTGATTTGCTATGCTTTATGGTGGTTTTACTTTCCAACAAAATTGCATCTGTGAAGGCCAGTGCTTCCTGTATAGCTAAAGGAAAAGCAAAGGGGATTTACAAATTTTTGTTTAAAGAACTAGGTACATGCTAAAATTCTGTAAAATACTGGAGCTAAGAGTATACATTCTTCAAATTGTTCTAACGCAGATTAGATGTTTCCAATTTACAGTACCTGGAGCATGACTTCACTGTGAATAGAGCAAATTCTTTGTCCTTGTCATTGCGTTTATTGATCCTAATTCATCTGCATGCCTTGACTTTTGCAGCATGGTTTCCATTTCGTTCCCATTAAGTGATTTAGATGACTTCATAAAATGAGAAGGCTTCAGACATCTCAATGTTCTTAGACTTCCTTGCCTGCATTATCGGCTTCTCTCTTTTCAGACTTATCAGTACATAGCTTTTTGTCTATTTTCATTATTGTCAAAACAGTTAAAAACTAAGACACTTTTGGAGAGTAATGTCTTGATTTAGCTGAATGAGAATATTTTGACTTTTCTGTATTATATTTGTTAAAATTATTGATTTTCATTAATGTGTTCTTGGTAGCTTAATTTGATTATCTAATGATTTAATGGCTATCATGTCTGTAATCAATGCCTACAGAAAATGGTATTTAAAACATTAATAGTTAATGCAACCAGTGTAAAACTATAAACAGCACTGTAGTTCATTGATTTGTTCCAGACTACAGGCTTAGGTTGAGGCAGACCCAAAGAATCCTGCATCTACCTTTAAAGTTTGTTTATTTAAATTCTTTTTGGTGGAGTGGAGAGGGCTTGAAAATTTGTTCTAGGTATCTCCTATCTTGGAATAGTAAGTCATCTGAAAGAGTATTGACTAAAGTGTTTTCTGGCATGCTGTGAAGCACTGTTTACAGCTTTGAATTCTTATCTTTTCACCATGGAACTCTTGTTGCTTTTAACTCAGCTGACCTTAAAGTGTGGATTTTGGGTTCTTTGGGGAATTATTGTTAGTAAAGGTGGCACGCTCTCTCCAGAACCTGGTTTCTTTGTGTGGAAAAGGAAATTTTCCCTAGTTATCTGTATCTTTGCAGTAAGGATGAGCTTTCTGTTACTAATCATGAGCTATCTGCTTATGGTGCCATTAGAAAATCATTTTAATGTATCCCAGATGAAATTGCCAGAGATACAGGTAAATCTGCTGATAAATCTGTATGGGGAGTTGCTGAATTTAAGTGAAATCAGTATTTCAGACATTTTTTGTACTATGTATTTTTTTAACCTGTTGTTAGGTTTAAGTAGGAGATTAAAAGACATGTCTTAAATACATTATTTATAACCAGGAAACAAGCATAAAATTTCCTACAAATACTTATATTTGATAATTATCATTACTTTAAACATTTTCAAGAAAAACAGTTGTAATACAGGCAGTTTCCAACTTAACAAATACTTCGTGGCATATATGAGCAGGCAGTGGAAAAGTCCAAGCCTGCCAGTTAAATGATTTCTCTTTTAATCCCTAGAATTAGAATTATACTGTTAACCTTTTTTGGTTCCCTGGAAAGGTGATTGCTCCAGAGAACTTCTTTTATGTTTTTAAATATGTTATCTACTTAGTTTGTTGCTAGTTGTTTGTGGCGGCTAGCGCAGGTGGATCTTCAGGTAGCTGGGAAGAAGAGAGACACCATTGAAATGCAAAATTCATTTTTTCAGACAATTTATTTAAAAGCTAGGTAGGTTTGATTTAATTCAAAGTGTTAATGCACCTGAAATACATTGCAAGTGAATATATTTAGCATTTTGCAAATCTGAGAAACAACTATTATATTGTTTGTTTTATTAATGAGTAAATGAGTTTTAAACTTTTTGGAGACAAGTCTGTTTGAAAATTGGAGACTGCCTGTACCTGTGTAGTCTTTTGTTTTGAAAACTAATGTTTTATATATTTATGCTATTTTAATCTTAGAAAGTATTAGGATGACTTTATGTTAGATCGTAATTTTAGTTTTTTTCTTTTTCTTCTTTGGAGGCCTAGGACATGAATGGTAGTTTTTTGTGTTTGTATAGTGTTTGATTTTTCTAAGCAATTGCATGTTCACGATGTTATTTAACTGATGAAAATTGTATTTGCACATTTTATAAAACATTGAAGTACTTGACAATTGTTAGTCAGAAACACTTAATGATATTTAAGTAAAGAAGGAAGAATATTTCTAACTTACAGATGAAAAACTAGAATAACGCACAGAGAAATTTGTAACTTACTGAAAAAAAAATGCCATCTCCTTAGGGTTCCTTTTATATTATATGATTCTGGTTTTCTAGTTAGATTCATGGCATCTCTATTAAAGTAACGCTGAAGAAAGAACACTTTTTTTGATTCTTCATGAGTATACAGTTAAAACTTTTGAGTGGTAAGGTTGTTACTTTTTTTGCCAGCCACAATAATTCATCATGTCTGGCTGGGCTGCCACAAGCTTTACGATTATCTTCCAATAGAAACAGAATTTCACTGGCTGTACAATATTGTTAATTTTAAATCTTCTTTTTTTTAAAGTACTGATTACTTTTAAATAGAAGTTAGTAGTTGGTTAATAATTTAAATTTGTAAACATTTTTGAATATGAACAAATTTGACTTGTTACAGATTTAAATAATGAGTTAAGATCAGGGACTTTTATGCAGGTTTAATTTTTATAGCTATTTAAAACATTCTTATATAAAATGTTAAAATAATGCCAAAATGAGGATATTTTAGATTAACTTTGAAACATTACCAAATATGATTAGTCAAAGTTTATTGAAGTAGATAGTGACTATGAAAGGTCCATTATTTAAATGTCACCAGGTTAATTATGGAAATTGGAACTCTAAATTTTTTGTGTTGTAATAGATACCACTGAATACTAACCTTTTTATTTGGAAAAAATGTAAATATACCAACTTGGTGTTCACCAAAGGAATATGCATTCTGAGTGAAAGTTAGTAGTTAAAATGTACAGAATGTTTTAAAATTTTCATTTTGTGTTTTATCTAGAGCTACTTGAGTTACAATACTGAGATTTAAGAAGCAATTTAATCACAAACTGAAAAAGAAATACAAAAAGTGCTTTTTCCCATGTATGAGTAGTGCAAGTTATTTGACCTCTCATAGTCTTCATTCCTTATCAATTAAGTGAAGGAATCATTCTCAAAATGTTGATATCTTGACAATTAAACAGGATGAATAGTTCTTAAAACGTATATATTTTTAAAGCCATTTTTTTCTTTTCCTCAAAGTATCATATCACTTAGCTGCAATGAATGTAGTTTCTATACATTAAAATTTTTTTCCCTGTTGTTCACTTATTTGACTTTAAGACCTCTATTATGAACAGTTAACTTTTGTCTTTTAAGGACTTATTGTTATTAGGTGCCAAGGAGCTGTTTTCCAGCTCAGCACCCAGTATACAACCTTGTGTGCAGCAGTTTGAAAGACTGTCCGGTCTGCATCTTCTTTACAGTTACTGCTATGTTTATTGGAGCTGCGGTGTCAATCCAGCTAGTTGAGGGTCTTCTCCCCCCCCTTTTCTGCTGACCTTCTACTTTGCTAAGCATGATAAGTGCTTAGTCTTGAATTTTATTTCGTAGATGTTATGGCTAGATGCCATGTCACAGCAAGTCCTCCTCTAATCACACATTCTTTATAGCACTTGAGGAGCTCGGGTGTCCTGGTAGTTATGAATTGCGCTGCTAACCGTGAAGTTCTTTTTAAATCTGAGTAATATGTTTCAGGAAGCAAGAATATATTTCTGAGGCTATTTAATTTTTTTTTTTAAAGTAAGCTCTTAACCATGACATACAAGGTGGTTTTAAAATGTTCGTGGGACTAAAATATACTGGAATGTTTCCATGAACTTTTGGAGCTTCCTCTTTTTACAGTCTATTTTTTCACTAACCAAATGTCATGCTAAATGCTTATCAACCCCAGTAGGCTAAGACACTTGTTTCAGATGGCCCTAATACCTGGTGGAATGATCTGTCATTTTAATCTTTGTAATTTTTATGCATATTTTAATTGATTCCTTCAAACTTTTCAACAGCTTACAAGCAACTACATGAAAGGCTGCTGGGAGGAAAGAAAAAATGTGGAATGTTATTTTATAGGATTTAGTGTGTTATATAAAGTGACATTTTGCCTGTTTAAATACAGGGTTAATATCCTCCTAATCAATACTATTTCTTATTACTGAATATGAATATATGATCAGTACTCAGTACAGTAATTTTTCTCTGCATTTCACAGATGTGTTCAAAGCAACATTGTGTTATTGACACAAGCCTTTAGAAGAAAGTTTGTCATTCCTGACTTCATGTCTTTTACCTCACACATTGATGAGTTATTTGAAAGTGCTAAAAAGCAATCTGGAGGAAAGGTAACTTTTTTGATGTGCTTATTTTCCTAACCCAGTCACTTAATATATTAAGTTCAATTTGGAGGTCAGAGATACAAGTGTGTTCATTTCTTGGGTTTTGCTAATTAAAAAAGTTGTGACGCCGTTGATTTTAACATTCTAAAATTTAAAAAAATATTTATTAGCCAAAAGGTTATCTAATTTTATTAATTCTTTTTGATAAAATGGTTTTGATGACTGAACTCTCGTTAATAATATTATTGGGAAGTTTTTGCAATTCAGATATCCTCTATAGGTCTTTCTGCTTTTAATCTCTTAAATCTAGGAATTTGTATTATTAATTTCTACATTATTTTCTTTTGTTTTGTTTAGCTTCTATATAGTATTATCTCTGGGTAATTGTTTAAGTATAGACATTTATTTTTATTTATTTTTTTTAACATAGCATAACCTTGCCAACTCCCCTGATTAAAGATGTTTTTCTCTTTCTTTAAAAAAAAAGTCATGTTCAAATTTGTGGTTTATATATCACTTATGTAGGAAGTGAGACTGCAGTGGGAAAGTGGCTGAGAGAAATCACTTATACCTCAGCCACTCCTCAACTCTTTGAGAAGTTAGTTTTAAGGAACTTTATTATAAAATATAGATCATAAAATAGCTAGTTATTGGTAGAAACCAAATTAAGATAGAAAATATTGTGTGCGTATATCACATCTATGCTCTCCCCCCCCCCCCAACTGTTTTGGATAGGTTGCAGATTATATTCCTCAATTGGCGAAATTCAGTCCTGATTTGTGGGGTGTATCAGTTTGTACAGTAGATGGTCAGAGGTAAGTTTAAGCCCATATTAATCAATTGTAAACTTTATATTTGCAAAACTGAGTATTAAATGAAGAGGGAAAGTTAGCCACCACATGACATAAATTCAAAAAGGTAAGTAAATTTGTTAATTTAAAAACCCTGATTACATAATGATACACTAAGTTTTATGAGACATTTAGTTTGTTTTTATTTATAGGTGTATCCTTGTTATTTGAGTATTTAAGTACCTATAGTTGTGAGTTTGTTTAGGAAAACAAGTCTTGTCAAAACATGGAATTATTCAATAATGAACTGACTACTTGTAAAATCATGCCTTGTTTCTTGCTTAGCATTGGCTACTGTTCTTGCCATTATCTCTTTTCTTCACGCTCTGATATGATTAAATTAGTACAGAACACAACATAGCTATCCTCTCGGCCAGCAATCATTTGCAGAGTAGAAGATCTAATCTTGCAGAACTTCATGAAGTCAGTGAAAGTGGTACTTGGAAATGCTCGCATTGCAGGTATAGCCACTGACAATTTTAAAGACTGTGATGTGAGGGTCTTCCAAAGATACTTTATTTAGTTTAAAAATCAAAGATAAAGTTAAATGATTTTTAAAAAGAATAGCCCTTTTTATTATTGTGTTGGAAGTCAGGTGTAATACCTATTATGTTGAGTTTTTGAGAAAAATTGTGCCAAAAGAAAAAAATGGATTTTTTTTCATCCTTGAGGTTTTATTGTTTTAAGATAATCTCCTAATTAAAGCCTCATCCCTCCCTTTCAAGTTCATGAAATATTGATCTCTTCATTATAAGATCATTTTACTTTTTACTACTTATTCTAAATTATAGACAATTACAAAAACCAAACAAAACTTGGCTTGAGACTAGAATAACTCAGCTACTACCACCAACTAACGGCTCAGAAAGGAATCACATTGGAAGGCCCTGGAGGGGGAGGGAGCAAAGGGTGGGAAAAAACCCCAAATCATGAAAGGGAGTAAGCTAACTGATCTGATAGATACTGATAGATACTATGGCTCTCAGTTGCCTTTCAGGTCTAGAGCTGAATTTACCCTATGGTGCCAATTTTCAGCCAAATGATAGACCGGTCTATCATTAGTAACACTGAATACATAGTATACACCTCAGAGTAATCTACCATTTGAGATCAGAAGTGCAGCTTTTACCAAAAGACAAAGTTCAGAAAGGTTAGGAAATAAGGAAGAATGGGAATGGGAAAACAGGGAGGAAGTGAGATGTGACAGGGAAGGGGTTGCAATGGATGAGATGAAATAAGATACGTATGAATAGTTGAATGTAAAGCTGGTGGTCTGCTCTGTAAACACTCATCGAGTTGCCATGTTTAAAAGAATGTGTTACAAGCTTAGCCCATTCCTGAGACAGAGTTCATGTTATATTCACAACCATGAAACTAGCATGTAGGTATGCTGGTCCTTCTATTTGGCAGACTTTATCTTCATCTGAACTCAGAGTACTAAATACTTATGTAGAAGCAAAAATTAGATGTGACGAAAAGGACACAAAATGAGGTCATGGTTTTATCCTTAAAAAGCAAATTCCACTAGGCAGTGATATTTCTCCCTTTTTTGTGTGGTAGAAAATGGCTTATTAATACTTGCACATGGTTTTTCTCTTCTCAAAGATTGCCTACGTGTAGGGATTTAGTTTTCTTACCTAGAGAATCCTAAAACTTGACTTTGGAACTAGAAGGTCAATATTTTAATTCCAAAATGAATGAGACCGGTTTTACAATTGTTTTAGAATGATTGTTAAGTAAAAATTATAGTCTTGACTAAATCATATATACATTTGATTTAAAAGGTATTTGATTTTACATAAATAGATCCATAAAAGTGAATAGTCTATAATTCACAGAAGTTAGTCACTGTTGACACCTCTTTGCTGCAGGACGTTTGCTTTTAACCCCTTTGCTTCAGATTGTTATCAATAGTTCCCTGCCTTTGTGGAGAGAATATAATGGAGTGGTCAGAATTTTTTCATTTCCCAACCCAATCTCTACCTCATTTCCTCCAAGTTTGGTTTAAGATAAAGCTGTCTTTTTGCTCTGCTCTCTAAGTGCACAATGCTGATAACTGCCTAATTTAGTGCTTACTCTGTCACATTTATAAAATTTGATGTTATTTCTCTTAATGAAGGTGAAATTGTGAATGAATAGGGTTCATAAGATGAGACATTTATAGGCAAGTTCTTAGTGAATAAACTGAACTTTTTGAACTCTTGAAGATTTGGGTTTAAAAGGAAGGTGAATAATTTGCTAAAATAGCTCATTCGTTTCATATGATTAAATTTGGGTGGTGGTGGTGGACCCCTTTTTTTCCACACTACTCAATTATTGATAATCCGATTTAGAATCTTATTTTATTACCTGAATAGTTTTTAAAGCATTTTTCTTTGTGTGTGTGTGTCTTATTGCTCTTTAAGATAAACATGTCTTAATTTTATTATTTAATATCAAAGTAAACTGGTTGAATTGTGGAATAATGTCAATTAGAATTAACATGCAAAATGACATCAATTAGGGAGCTGCATGTCTATCTAGGTGATCTTAAGTCTTTTTTAAATCTATTTTAAATAGGCACTCTATCGGAGATACCAAAGTTCCCTTTTGTCTTCAGTCCTGTGTAAAACCTCTGAAATATGCTATTGCTGTTAATGATCTTGGAACAGAATATGTGCATCGATATGTTGGGAAAGAACCGAGTGGATTAAGATTCAACAAATTATTTTTAAATGAAGATGGTAAGAATAGCATAAGTATTGGTTTAAAAAAGTAATGTAAAAAAATTTTTTTTTCAAGAAAGAAACTTCATGCTTTTTATTTGTCATTGAATTTCTGTGAATTCTCTAAATATAATTTCAGCTGTTTAACATATACCACTAGGAAATGAGCAGGGAATTTCACTTTATAGCCATATATAAATCTCCCTGGTGACCCCCTGAGTTTCCCTCAACTACTAACAAGTGCCAGGCCTTCAAAGGTTACAACTAGGAAAGCCGCAGGAATCAGTTACATTCTGTAACTCTGTGGCTGTCGTGATTCAGGACTGATGAAATGTGTTTGGGTTCTTTTTCATTTACGTTTTCAATAGGAAATAATTTAAAAACCTTGCGATGGTTTAGGTTAAGGTTAAGGTTAAGGTTTGCTTTCAAAGTAATTTAGTGGACAGCGTCTGTAAGTACAAGGCATATAGATCAGTTTCTTAAACTGGTTTGTGACTTCCATATAGGTTTTAAGCATTATGTACTACTGTTTATATATTGTCTTAATTGTGTAATAAGCATATACCAAAATGAGAGATCTGATTGGAACAGTAAATAAAGGAATTAACATAATGAATTTACATAAAGAAGATAAAACTCAACTATGTAGAAGGGACAGAGTTTGTGATTGGCAAGCATCTCAGTGGGCCTTCTGGGATTATAAGCTATATAGAGTATATTGGAAATGTGTTTGTAATGTGTTATGTTCTTTTAATTCTTTAATTTTTGTATGATATATGGTAACTAAGATAAAAAAGAACTCTGCAGGTTTTATTACCTGGGTGAAAATGAAAACTTGTAAAAATGTGTAGTTTTTGTGTATTCTAATTAAAAACGTGTCTATAAATTCCAAATGTTAACAATTTGGAAAACATGTGCAAATACTTGGAAAAACAATCCCTTCCTAGACTATTCCAGATGGATGTCAAGAACCTCAACAGACCCATAGCAATAGAAAATAGACAAGGTTGTCAAGGGATTACCAACAAAAAAATCCCCCAAGCCAGATGGCTTCATAGGAAAATTCTACCAAGCATTCAGGGAAGAACTGATGCCAATCCTACACAGATTCTTTCTGTGAAGGTAGTATAACTCTGATACCTAAAGTGGCCAAGGTTCCCACAAGAATTGAGAACTACAGACCATTATCACTAATGAACCTCGATGCAAAAATCTTTAGCAAAATAACAAAAGCATATAAAACAAATAATTCACTATGACCAAGTGGGATTCATAACAGGGATTGTTCAACATACGAAAGACCATTAGTATTATTCGCCACATTGACATGAAAAATTATAAGAACCATATGATAATATCAATAGATGTGGAAAAAGCATTCAACAACATCCAACCCCCATTCCTGTCTAAGACACTCAAGAAATAGGAATGGAAGGAAAATTCCTCAATATTATAAAAGCTACATATGAAAAACCAGCAGCCAATGTGATAATCAATGGAGAAAAGATGAAAATGTCACTGAAAAAGGGGACCAGACAAGGATGCCCTTTGTCCCCACTCCTTTTTAACATTGTACTGAAGATCCTAGCTAACAGCATAAGACAAAGAAAAGACATCAACGGTATTTATCTGGGGAAGGAAGAGGTGAAACTATTGTTATTTGCAGATGATATGGTTTTATATATTGAAAATCCCCCAAACTCCACAAGTGGAGTGGTGGAAGCAATAGAGGAATATGGCAGAGTAGCAGGATATAAGATCAACAAACAGCATTCTATCAGGCTGCTATACACATCAGACAAGATCATAGAAGAGGCAATTAGGAAGCACCCTTCACAATAGCCAAATACAAGCTGAAATAGCTAGGGATATACCTGACTAAAAAAGCAGAAGATTTGTATGAGGAAAACTACAGAACACTATTACAAGAAACCAAGAGTGACCTCAACAAATGGAAGAGTATTCCATGCTTGTCAATTAGAAGACTGAATATAGTAAAGATGTCAATTCTGCCCAAGGCACTATATAAGTTTAATGCTATCCTGATATGAATACCATCATCCTTCTTCAGATAATTGGAAAAACTGATTACCAACTTCATATGGAGAGGGAAGAAGCCCAGAATTAGTAGAGAACTCCGCAAGAAGGACAAAATGGGAGGGCTTGTTCTACCTGACTTTAGCACATATACAGCCACAGTGTTCAAAACAGTGTGGTACTGGTGTAACCACAGATATTCAGACCAATGGAAAAGAGCTGAAAACCCAGAAATAAAAACATCAGCTGACAGTCAACTGATTTTTGATAAGCGCCCCAAAATATCAAATGGGAAATGGATGCACTCTTCAATAAGTGATGCTGGAAAAAAATGGATATCTACCTGCAGAAAAATGAAGCAAGACCCTGACCTCACTCCATGCACAAGAATAAATTCAAGGTGGAACACAGACCTTGAGGTAAAGCCCCAAACTATTAGGGCCATTAAGGAGGGACAAACCTGAGAACCTTGTCACAGGGAATATACATAGGCTATTGGGAATAGGGAAGGATACAAATCCAGAGGAGTCACAAATTGACAAGTGGGATATACTAAAGATAGAACACCTGTGTACATCAAAAAAATTCACCAAGGGTGTAATAAGAGAGCCCATGGACTGGGAAAACATCTTTAGCAATGACACATCAGACAAAGACCTTATTACTAAAATCGACAATACTTTGCAAGCTTATAATAAGAAAAAAAAAAAACAACTGCTAACTAAGAGGGTGGGCAAAGGCCCTGAACAGAAGTTTCACAGGGGCAGAAATCCAAATGGCCAATAAACATGAGAAAATGTTCCGGATCATTAGCCATAAGAGAAATGCAAATTAAAACAACTATGAGATACCACATAACACCCTCAAAGATAGCCCAATTAAAAAAATCAGAAGCAATAGGTGTTGGAGAGGCTGTTGTAAGATAGGAACTCTCGTCCACTGCTGGTGGACCTGTAGGTATGTACAGCCATTATGGAAATCGACTTGGCAATATCTAAAACAGAAATTGAACTGGCATATGACCCAGCAATCCCCCTACTGGCCATGTACCCCAAAGAGGCAAGAAACAAACCATGGCCAGACATCTGTGCGGCACTGTTCACAATGGCAAGGAATTGGAAACAACCCAAATTTCCATCAACAGACGAATGGATCAAAAACTGTGGTACATCAATGGAGTACTACGCATCCCTAAAAAGCAGCGATGAACGCATGAATCACATTGCCACCTGGGAAGAACTGGAGGAAATCATTCTAAGTGAAGTAAGCCAAGTACAAAAGGACAAATACAACATGAGTCCAATGAGGTAATCTTAAAAAATAATGTGGCATAGGGGAAAACCTACTATATACATACATTACTGGGGTGAGGCCCACCTACACCGGCAGGGGCCAAACCCAATCCAAGGATACTTAATAGCAACCAACCAATTGAATAGGGGGAAAGAGGAAAAGAAAAAAAAAAAGACGTGGGGAGCAGGACACTAACCTACCCAAGAGGAGGGTAATTTTTATATCTCTACAGGAGAGGGGGAGAGAGACCAGGCTTGAACCTGATGTGCCCAGACATGAATACAGCATACTGGCATGTACCAGGGAACCAATAAAGGTCTGCGGGGCCAGCCCCATTCCCAACTATGTGGATGCCCCCCACCCCCAGAAGAATGCATTTCAGAAGATAGCATTGGGTTCCAGCTTGGGGAGAGGCGCACGTCTGATCAGAGCACACAGGAGAAATGAAAAGGGATGGAGAGGGAGGGGTGGACATCCTGGCCCACCAAGGCCCGTGGACAGTATTCCTGCTCAGAGCAGACAATGCACAGATCACAAGACACGACATCCCTCACTAAACCATAGCACTGCAGAGAACAACACCGGAGACACAGTGTGGGACTTGTGTACAATCTGACCCCATCGTACTGGGGAGAAATGCTAAGGGCATGCAACAGAGGAACAAGGGGAGCAAAGTGATGAAATCCCCGGGGAATGCCAAAAATAGACTTTGGAGACAGTGTGGCACCCATCAGACTCGACTGGAAAACACTCGTAATGGCCAACAAGCAGAATTTGAACTATTGATGGGCTTTTCCATTTTTGTCAGTGGTTTTTTGTTGGTGGTGTTTTCTTGGTCTTGACTTCCTTTTTTGTTTTGTTTGGCTTTGCCTCGTTTTTGTGCTTATTAATGTCTCTGCATGTCTATTTATATATAATAGGCGGGATAAGCAGTTCGGAGATGAAAAGAACTGGACCAAAGGTTCAGTTCCAATGGATACAGGAGAAGGGGAGGTGGGAGAAAGGAAGGGTGGGGGAAACCAACCCAGGGACAAGGGAACAACAAGTGAACTAAAATCAGTGAAGAAAAGGGTGTTAGATGCTTAGTGGGGCTTAATCAAGGGCAATGTAGCAGTGAGGAATTACTAAACCCGAATGAAGGCCGTACAGGATGGTGGGACATGAGGAAAGTAAAAGGAAATAGAGGAAAGAACCAGGAGGCAAAGGATATTTATAGAGATCTAAATACATAATGTACATATGTAAATATATATAATGAGAAGGGAATAGAACTATGTACTCATATGTATATGTTAACAATTAAGGTTACAGATGGACATTGGGCCTCGACTCAAGGGCTCCCTCAACACAAGAACACTTTGTTCTAATAGTGCAGCATTCTGTGATGCTCACCTTCCCGACACGATTACTGAAGACAAAATGGGTGCCTGGGTGTGTAAGCAAATGTGGTGAAGAAAGCCTAGCCATCAAATGATATAGCGTCTGGGGTCTTAAAAGACTTGAAGATAAACAAGTGGCCATCTAGCTGAGAAGCAACAAAGCCCACATGGAAGAAGCACACTAGCCTGAGTGATCAATAGGTGTCGATGGGAATCAGGTATCAGGCATCTAAGACCCACAACAAAATCATAACCAATGTGAATGAGTGGTGGGGGGACATGGAGTGGATACCCAATGCCCATCTGTAGACAATTGGACTTCCCCTCACAGAGGGGGGTCACAGGGAAGAGATGAGCCATTCAGGGTGCAGTATAGCACCAATGAAATGCACACCTTTCCTCTAGTTCTGTAATGCTTCCTTCCTCCCACTATCATGACCGCAGTTCTACCTTACAAATCGGATTAGACCAGAACATGCATACTACTATAGATAAGAGCCTGCAAAGCAGGGAAGCCAGGATAGATAATGGAAGGCCAACACTGAGATTATCGATACCAGGAGGATTAGGGGGTAGAAGGGAAATCAATTACAATGATCAATCTAGAACCCCCTCTTAGGGGGGTGAACAATGGAAAAGTGGGTGGGGGCGACAGAGGACCATGTAAGATATGAAAATAATGTATAACTTATCAAGGGTTCATGAGAGGGTGGGTGGGGAGGGAGGCGAAGAAATCGGGAGCTGATAATGGTCAAGTGGGAAGAGAATGCTTTGAAAATGTTGATGGCAGCATATGTGCAAATGTTCTTGACTCACTGGATGAATGTATGGATTGTGATGAGATGTAAGAGCCCCCAATAAAAGTAATTAAATTTTTTTCAAATGTTATTCATCTCAGTTTATACAAACCAACCTGATAGCTACCATTACTTTAAATGGTAGTCTTTATTAATTGGCTGCACAGGGTTATGCTATTTCGGCTTCATAAATATTTTCAGATGAATTAAAAAATCTAAATTGCACCCTTTAAATTTTCTACCAACAGCAGAGGTAGGGAACAAGTAGAATTCAGGCATATATCTCACAGATAAGCTTTCTGCTGGTGCGAGCCGGGTATAATGTTACAGTGTCTCTGGTTTGTTTCCAAAATGTTCAGATGTCTGGCTTTTGAGCCAGAGGCAGATTGAGCAGTTGCTTACATAAGAAAATTGCTGTTGTCAGGCCATGAAATGGGTCAGTACCTACCATATTCTTGGAAACATACTACTGAATGTAGCTTATATAGTATCTACAGAATATTTATGACTTCATATACGCTACTTGCTATTTGGTGACCAACTTTATTTATCGTAGTGTAATGTTTTTAAAACTCATCCATGTATTAGTATGTCATTCCTTTTTATTGCCAAGTGATTTTCTTTTATATGGCTTGTAAAACATCTTATTTATTCATCCATCAATTGATGGGCTATTTGATTGTTTCCACTTTGGGGCTATAATGAATAATTCTTTTAGGAACATATGTACTAATTTTTGTGTGAACATATACTTTCATTTCCTTTGGTTATATACCTAGGAACCAATTTGATGAGGTATACAATAACTAGTAGTGTTTTTAAGTAACTTTGTGCATTTAAATTTACATTTTTAAGTAACCGTCAAAGTGCTTTCCAAAGCACAGAGATTATCCTAAATGGTCAAATCACAGACTATCATTTGGTTGCAATTTAAAGAGACTAATAATAACAGCCATAAATTAATGCACTCTGTAGTTTTGTCAATTTAGATACAATGATGTCTTCCCAAAGAAATGAGTAATAACATATAAATTAGGAAGCAGCTTGCAACTAAATATTTTCACTGTTCTAAGGGTTTTGTGTTTATTGAAATGCAGTGAATGAGAATGTAATCAGTTGTGATTTTAAATTCTCTTTATTTTAAAAACTACGATAGGAGGTAGAATTTTAAGTGCATTAAAAAATTTTAAGTAGTGTTAAAAAATGACATCCTTGTCAGGAAATACAGAAATTATCACCAACACAACTTAGTATTATTGTTGTATTGTATGAGTATCTTGTTAGTGTCAGTTTACTTTTTTCTCTCTCTTTGTGTGTTGAAAAACAAAATTGGGTTCACATTAGATGAGGTTTGCTTCAGGATGTCTCTGGTACTTTCTAAGAACCTAATGTGTTTAATTTATTCAATCGTCATAACTCAAAGGAGGTGTTCACCCACTGATTTCATCAAGAGTGACCCTGTAAGACGAGGATAGAACAGAATTGCTCTTGAGGGTTTCTGAGACTAAATCTTCTCCCTGGGAGTAGCTGGTGAATTTGAACTGGCAACATTGTAGCCCAGTAGTTAATCCACTTTGTCTCCAGTACTCTTTCAATAAAGTGTGGGTACGTACTATTATTTCCTGTTTCAGAGAGAATTGGGGCACAGTGAAATTTAGTTACTTGCTCAAGAACACACAGTTACAAAATGAAAGCCCTAGGAAATTTGGATGTGCTCTTATGCCATTTGTCATCTTTTTGTATATAGATCTCTATATGATTATTAGAGCTGCATCCTAGAAGTGATTAATAATGCTACTGCTTTTACATTTTACAGATAAACCACATAATCCTATGGTAAATGCTGGAGCAATTGTTGTGACTTCATTAATAAAGGTAAAATATTGACAAATCCTTTTAACCTAGCAAAAGTTAAATACCTAAGACACAGAGATGAATCTTAAATTATTTATGTGGAACTGTAAAAGGTTTTTCCCTCTGTCTTAAAAAATTAATCTTCCTGTATAGGGTTCAGTTTTTTATTTACTTCAAAATAAACTATGCAATGATTTTAAAGGGAAAATTAGAAACAGATGACTCTAAATCCTAACAGTTAATTTCTCTTGATTTAAAGATCTGGCAAAAATTCAAAAGGAAGTATCTGCTGAACAAGAGCCATAGAGCTTTTCTTAAAAGTTTAGAATTTTTAAATCTTCTCTTCCTTTCTGGGTTTTCTATAATGTACAGATATAAATGGAATTAAATGCATTCAGTGTATAAATTTTCTTATTACCATAAATACAGAAAATGTTTTGGTATTTTGCTTAAAACAAAGTATATTTACATTTGACTATTCTCCAGTCATACACGAGTGCAAATCACAATTTTTATTTGAATGTTTACTTTAAATTATGCCATAACTAAAATAAGGCTTTTCCCAATTACTAAGCTGTATTATGTTCCTTATACTTTGAAATTTGCATTGTATTTAGTATTTGGTTTTCCTTAATAATTGGATGTTTTAATGATTTGAAATAAGTATCTGAAAATGATTCTATTGTGAGATACAGGTTTTTCATTTATATTGAAATAAGTCAAATGTGCACTTGAAACATTTGCAAAGCTTGTCCAGTAAATCAGTATCTATTCCAAATTAGAGTAAAGCTAATTAATGACTTTGTAAATAGATTTCTGAGGGTGGGATACTCCCTTACACAAAGGGTGTAAGTCATACCCTTGGCCCAATTCATAAAATTCATCTCCTTCACTTTCACAAATTTTATATATTTATGAGAAAAACCTTTAAGATAAGAACACTATTATAAAATATGTATTAATATGCACAGTTAATAATTTGGGCCAAGTGCTGTGTAATCATTGGCCCCATAATCCTTGCTAACCCTTTGAGATAGATATATTCAAATGTTATTGTTTAATGAGTTTTAATAGGCCGTAGAAATTTTCAGTTTGTCCACTGTAACATCTAGTTATTTTGGCAATTTTATGTAAGAGAAAAGTTGTTTGCTTGTTGTAAAAGAAACTTGGTTATTATAGAAATCCTTGTTTTATTGTAGAAATTAGTATGCATATGAGAAGAATTCAAAAAGTTTGTGGAATTAAAAGATAATTGGCCTTTTCTAGGAATATTTTGAAACCTCATGTGAGTGAGGTGCACTCTCACAGTGTGAGGCATGCATAAGTAATTAATCTTACAGTTAGATTAGGGTATGTTCAGTGAGAGCAAAATCTCATTGATAGTTTAGATTTGAAAAGAATTTAGAGAAATGGAAATTCATGGTGATACAATGTATGTGGTAATTATTATTAACCACTGGAATGGTTCTTAGCCTTTTTTAGGTCTCTCTTGAAAATGTTCGCATGAAGTGATTTTACATACAATTGTAGAAGGTTGATAGGTCCTTTGAAGCTGATCCATGGACCCGTTTAAGAACTTTTTACACTGGAAAAAGATTAACATGGTATACCAATAGTATTCTCCAGGAAGGGATAATGTAAATGATAAATCAAGCATTTCCTTGACTGCCTGCAGTTAAAAATCTCCTTTTGTTTAATGATTCATGGGTGTAATACACTGCCCTGAGGATTGCTGCTTGTTGGAATTGCATGCTTGGTCCTATCACACCATCCCTTCATTAGTTTCACTTAACGTAAGTCACAAGCCGTGATCTAACTAGACACAGTTGAATCACTCGTACTTAGATTTTTAGCTTAAAAGAAAACAAAGTTAAATTGCATGTGCACAATTTAGGTGTGGTTTAGCATGAAATTTCAGAAATTTAACTTAATTCATCTTGTATTTATAAATTTGATCAGTGGTTTTAAATTTATAAAAATGTTGAGCCCTGGTGATGCAGTGGTTTAGTGTTTGGCTGCTAACTAAAAAGGTTGACAGTTCAAACTGGCAAAGTTTGAAGTCAGGCTTTGGGGTAATTTTCTTTTGAGTTTCTGTTTTTCAAATGTGTCTCACAAGTACTTTTAAATTATTTAAATGAAGTTCATACAAATCTTGTATGAGGACATTTGATGTGAACTTTGGTAAAAACTGCCCCAGAATGTAATCCTTAACGTAATACTTAAGACAGAATTAAAAACTTACAACAATCTGTATTTGATCTCTGCAAGTTATATAATCACATAATTATAATCAGTAATGGTTTTGAAATAAAGCTAGCCAAAACAGCCTATAGAAATGTCAAGCCCCGCCTTCTTACTTTATAAAGTTGTGGAAACTGAGGCAAAATAGCTTGTGACAACAGTAGAATTAGGTCTAAGCCAAATCTCATGACTTAGACTTCTCTTTTTTGTTTGCTGTTTATTAGATTTCATGCTACCATATTTAATGTGGTTTCTTTTGATAGCATCTAACTTTGCCTAGTATAGTTTTATTATCTGAAAATGCTGTTTTCTTATTTTTTAAAGTTACCAATTTATTGGTTAAAAAGTTACATCTATTTTTAGTTGGTCTATATGGTTATTTTTGGATATCAGTGCCTAATATATGTATAGAACTAGGTCCCTCCCCCTGAACTTACACTTGAGTATCAAGGCATGACTTTTAACCATGGCTAATTAACAGATATGGCACAGTGGTTAAGTGCTGAGCTACTCACCAAAAGGTTGGCAATTCAAACAGAGCAATTGTCCATAGAGAGCGATGTGGCCCCCTTCTGTGAAGATCCATTACCATGTAGATAACAGCCTTGGGAGCCCTGTGGGGGCAGTTCTAATCTGCCCTAGAAAGCAACCAGGAGTTGAAATTGACTTGGTGGCAATGGATACTACATATGGATTTTATTCTTTAGCTCTTCTTTTAGTTGAACTTGAACGTTTGTGATTTTATTTTTTCTACCGAAGTTCAGGACTTTATTATGATGCCATTAACACATTATCCTCACATTACTTCACACCCCCAGGGGGAAAGATTAAGTGGAGTCTTTAGAAAGACTCTTTATTTCATAATTTTGTAGTATTGATATTTTTTCCTTGTAGGATTGGTGGTGATCCTCGGGAAATGGGGCAAGAGGCAAAGCAAATGTTCAAAAGGATTAGCAGATTGTGGAAAAAAGGAGCATTTGGACAGAAGGAGCCTGTTGCATAAATTCTTAACTACTAAACTTATAGAAAAACTCCAATATTTAAAATTTTAACCAAAGCTATATAGGTAAATACCTTTTTAAAAACAAATGTCATTTTATACTTAAAATGCACATAATTTTTGACAAAACAAGGGTACTTATATTTGCTTTCTTTTTCTCTGTAGTAGCTACTAACTTTTAAAGGAATACTTTTTGATGGAATCTGTTTTATTTGATGATGATAATGTGTGGTTGCTTGATTTAAAGAAAAGAATCAAATCTGAAAGGAGCACTATCATTTCTGATTAAAATAGCACTACCCATGTACATTTTAGTGGTTAAATTTTCACCTTCAAAAGCTAAGGTCTGAGGGGCAAGTTAATGGTTAGAGTGGGAAAATGAGGGCAACATACTGCCATTCTTCATTTTGAATTTCAGAGGTCAAGGTTAAGTTACACCATCTTCTTTATGTCTCTCTCTCTCTCTCTCTCTCTTTTTATATGTCTCTTTTTATTCCAGTTAGTTTCCTGTTTTTGCCGTTTCAAGAAGCTTGATTTTTTTCGTCAAGAATAATTTTTAAATTTTCAAGTTTAAAATTGGAGGTCTTGCTTCTTTTCAGCCATTTAATGACCATGACAATAAAGACAAATTTAATTGTATAATGCTCAATATGGCCATAGTAACAAGAACCAGTAGACTTGCTCATTAAGTCACATTCTTGACTATGGAGAGTAATAGATGATGCTTCAGATTTTGTAGCATTCAGAAGACGAGATTATTGGTTCACTTACTTTCATATTTATACCAGTTGGTATATTTGAGATTTTCATTTGTTTTAGTTTTATGCAGGGCAGATCATTTATTGCCCAGGGAATTAATTTTCTGTTTTCTTAGTATTAAGATGAGTCTGTGGAAATACTATATCTAGAATATTATTTTTTATTGTTACTATGTATTTAATTCTCCCATTTAACACTACCTTTAAAGCCACTCTGGGGAAGATTAAAATATTTATCTTGCCTCTTCTACTGCCTCTAATTTTAATTGTTTTTATATACCGCTAATTTTCTAAATAGAATTAAATTATATTTTTTTGACATAGCTCTGATTAAAATATTAACTTTAAAGGAGGCATTTTAATCCAAAATTTAAAATTTTTTGGTAGGTCTCTGTGTTGACAAGTGTTCAGTTTGTACTTTAATCTATAATACATTAATCAGTTCATAAGTATGTTATAAAAACATTTTAATGTACCTCAGTTAATCTGTTGGCTAGTGCTAAACCTCCGAACCTTAATGTAAACAATTTATTTCCAGAGCTTTTTTCAAAAGAATGTAAAATCTATAATATGATATGAGTGTTCATAGCAGATTAAATCTATTTCTAGTGGTACAGTCTAACTACCTTTTAAAAACAAACCAATTAATTGGCTTTTAAAATTTTGCTTTAAATGCACAAAAATAAAATTCAATATATTGCTGCATAAACAAAAACAAAACAAAATTTTTGTTTTAAAAATTTGATGATTAAAAGCATTGGTAAATAAAATTTATTCAGTTTAACCTTTTAAAAAGTTTTGCTAATATATTTACTACAAATGAATGCTAATATGTTCAAAACAAAACTATCAAAAGATCTAGTAATGCTTGCATAGTGATCTTTAACTTAGGATACACTTGCGATACACTTGCATTCCTTGGGATATGAAGTCTTTCCAAGGAGTAAGAGAGGATTTGTAGTTTTAAGACAATTCGTTTTCAGAACTATTTTTTCTATGTGTTCTTTATTATAATTGATTTTTGTTACAAAAAATTGTGTTTTACCAAAGAAACACATAGTTCTTATGCATCCTAAAATCTGATTTGGCATACTCCTTCAGGTTGTAAAATCTCTTGGGCACCAACAAAGGAGAGCATTTTGAAATACTGGAGTCAAAACATTTTGAAATATTGGTTATATTGAGCATGTTATATAGATCTTTTGATTACCAAGTTACTGGTATTTCCAATTCTTTAGTTTCAACAAAATTGAAAGAAAACTTTTCATTTAGTTAAATAAATTTAAAAAATTAGTTTGGGTTGGATGAACACTGATGTTTGGCATGTGTATTAGGGTAGACATTTAAAGAACTGAGTGACAGTGTTGTAACCAATTTTTCTATCCCCCTCTACTTAGATATTATAATTAAGGTTTCTCAGCTCATACATCTGTAAAAATCATAAGTAGGGAAAGAGACCCATTCTCTTTCTAGCAATAGAAAATATTTATTGATCCAGGAGTAAAAATTACGATTTGAATAGGGAGAGAAAATATTGAACAATAATACAAGAGCTCTGGTATCATAGTGGTTACTTTGTTGATCTGCTAACCATAAGGTCCGAAGTTCAAAGCCACCAGCTGCTCTATGGGTGAAAGAAGGAGCTGTTCTATTCCTGTAAAGAGTTACTGTCTAAGTCACTCACAGGCACAATTCTACACTGCCCTGTAGAGTCACGATGTGTCAGGATCCACGCGGTGACAATGAGGAGAATATGTAATGTAAATTAACATGGTAAATTTTTAGCACAAATTTTTTCCTTTAACTGTAGGGTTATCATGAGTTGTAATGGACCTAAAGACAGTGAGTTTGGGTTTTTTGTTGTTTTTTTTTTTAAATGAAAAATCCCAAACATAAATGTATTAGACAGTTCTCTAGAGGAGCAAAAGCTGTGACGTGTGTATATATATTTAATAGACTGAAGACTTTTTCAGATGCACCTGATTTCATGGGCTAACCAAACCAAGATTAGCAGGTCAAATGGTAGGCTGTTTGCTTATGAGCCAAGAGATAAGTCAGATGTATGATTCAGAAAGAACGAGCCTTGCCAAAACATCCATACAGGCTGCCACACCCCTAGGGAAACGGATTTTCCCCATATTGGCTTCTTGCATCAGATTGCAAAATGTTAAGATGATTATGTTATGATATGTTATGGAAGAGCAATCCAGTATCTGCCAAACCACAGAGAATCACGTTAGCCTGGTAAACATATACTAACAGTCATCACAGTATACAAAGTAGCATAACTAGCCTCTGTGGAATAGCTTCACTTTAAAAAACATCTATTCCTCTCCCCCTTTGCCATCCCCCCCACCCCCTTGATGGTAATGATAATAATTTTACTACTTTTGTATTCTGGGGGAAGGAGAAATTAGTGTGTGTGTGAGTGTGTGTGTGTGTGTGTGTGTGTGTGTGTGTGTGTGTTGCCAACAGTTTTGCAAGTAAAATTATAAGATATTTTATTTGGTAGTTAAGTCCTTTATATCCCTGCGGTGTATGAATTCTTTACAAGGGGTACAGGAACAATGTCACTTCCAAGATAGATAAGAAAAATGAACATTAATCAAATGCTGCCACATTTAAACGATAATTTTTAGGAGAGATTTTCTTGAGTTAATAGACAGTAATCCAAATATTTTATCTTCCCCCATTTTTGTAATCTGAGTAGGATTTTTAAGTGGTTTACTCTAATTGTTACATAATCACAAACAAATACCAGTTGTTTCTTAAAAACCAAATAGAAGGAAAACTTAATTCTACTTTAATTTAGTAAGGGGAAATTTAGACCAAGTGTATGATATACCCTTGATTTGAAATAGGGTTTTGGTTTTCATACTGAAAATGACAACTAGTAAGGAAAATTAGTTTTACAGGGCATAATTTTAGCCAAAGTTTACTTTAGCAGTTTATCCAGTAATTAATCCATATGTCCTTTTTCAAAAGAGTTAGTTTTTTATTTTTGTGCTTTTCAAAGGTTGAAGGGTTTTTTTCTGGTTTAAATGTTGTTAAATATTTTACAGCATTAGGATCTATGGAATATTTTGACAACTGCAACAGTTCAATGAAGTTGGTAATTTCTTTTAATTATTTTTCATTGAACCGCTTTGGAGTGTATACCTTTTTACATGGTGTTTTATAAGGAAAGAAAACTTAAAATATGTCAAAGCGTATTTTGTACTTAGGAAAAAATATATAGATTGATTACAATATGTCTAAAGTGAACAACTTTATATTGTTTAGTCTTCGCTACTGCTGTTATGATGACATAGTGTAGGGTTTCTTTCAGTTACTGATTATAAATGTGTGACTGTGTTATCTGCCCTCCAATAAATTGATGTTTTGGCTTTCAGATTTTCAGCCACAACTTCATCAACTTGAAAGTGGAAAAATGAACCTGATTTTACACAATTAAATATTATACTCATACAGGTTCCCCTCCTTAGTAAAGTGTAATATTTTGGTTCTTTTGAGGATAACATGTAAAAAGAGTACAGTTTTTAAAAAAACTTTATTTGCCAAATTACTTTTTTTAAACCTGTTTTTAAAATTAGAGATGTATTGTTTCTATTGGGTGCATATCACCAATTAATACGTTTGATTTCAGATCTACAACTTACTGCTTTGTAAACTTCGCCGAGGTAAAATGAAACCATTTGGTTACTTGAAATGGTGTATGTTACGTTGATTTTCCTTATTGACATTGTGGTAGCTAACATGTCGGAGATAGAAATGCTGAAACAATACATCTTCCATGATTTGAATTGGCATAATGCAAAGCATTATTGTACTTACTTTTTTAGATAATATAGAATAAAACTTTAAATTTTTTAAGTCAGGTATATAGCAAGCAGAATTTTTTTCTGATCTAGTTAAGTATGCCCAAAATGTTAGTTTATGCTAGAATTATAAAAGATTAGTCTGCAACATCACTCATTTTTCTAACACTAATATTGGTATAACTTTATATATGTAGATAGAATGTTATTAATTGAAAATTATAATATATGTATATACTTAATTATTTTCTAAGGGTGAAACTTTATTTTAAGTTTTTATAGTGCAAAACTAAGTAAATAGTATATAATTTAGCAGATTGTATGAAGCCGTGAAATCGAATTGGGGTCAGGTGTGTTTTAAATTCTGTAACTTTGGGTTGAGTAAAGATATACTTAAAATAAAGCATTCCCTTTGTAAGTCAGATCAATCCTCATATATTGGTGCTAATGAAAGAGTGTTTATGTCAGTACTAAATTATTTTAGAAGTATTTCCTAGATTTAAAAGTACTAATGCAGTGTGTCAATTATAATTATACCAGTTTGAAATTTTTGACAATTAGCTTACAATTTAACTGTAGTGGTGTCTAAACTAATGTATTTATGTCTCGTTTTTCTGCAGCAAGGAGTTAATAATGCTGAGAAATTTGACTATGTAAGTGGAATTTAAAATTCAGTTTTCTTGTCACATTCTTTACATATTAGGCTTTTGGTTACTGATACGTTCTACTTTTGGTTTATAGGTGATGCAGTTCTTGAATAAGATGGCTGGTAATGAATATGTTGGATTCAGTAATGCAACGTGAGTCTGATTTATGACGTAGCGGAAGAAGAGGCTACCTTAAATTAATTTTAAAAGTCGAGCTTGTAGAATGTAACTTTCAATACTGTTTCGTTAACTTCATTTGTTCCTTGTGTTAGCCCAGGTCATTGGTAAATCAATAATATTTAAGATGTGGTCATTACAAGGAAATAAGGGGAACATTTAAAAATGCTTGAGTAGTTTTAGCTAGGTCCTTGTGGGTAGTCATAGAAGGCACCTCTAGCTTAATTCAGATTATTGCTTTTTCAGTTTTCTCTGCCTAGCAGACCCGGCTAACCTTTCTCAATCTCTTCTTGATATTACTCCAAGTCAGTTTTTATTCAGATACATGACCCCAATTCAGTTTGCAAGTTTACAGAAAAATTAAAGAAAAGAATAAACAAAGAATATCTACAACTTTGATTTATGTGCTCTGATTAATACTTAGTTTCATTTACTTTTCACAGTTTATCTGTTTAGATAAATATGAATATCTCTATGTAAACATTGCATGTAACTATCAATGATGTAACCAATGCCATGAAGTTTTTTCCAACTCATATTGACCGTATAGGAGTAGAACTTAGGGTTCCCAAGGTGGTAATGTTTACAGAATCCCACTGCCACATCTTTCTTTTGTAGAATGGCTGGTATGTCCGAATCAATCTTGGAGTTAGCAGCCAGGCACTTAGGCACTTACACTACTCAGGCTCCTTATGTAAATATACATATAACACATACATTCAATTTACCCCCACCCCCAACTATTTGATCTTGTTGTAAACATTGACGTTTAACTCAGCACATTAGAATAAGGACAGCCAACTATATAACCGTAATTAATGCACTTGAGAATATAATTTTAAAATACAGTATTAATCAATACTTGAAATGTCCCTGACCACTAGTCATTTTATTCTATTTATTTTTTAACTTTTTATTGTGAGTTAGGTGAATGTGTATAGAGTAGATTGTCAGTTTTACATTTTAAAAACTCATACCATGTCGCTTAATTCATCTATTAGAATCCCCTCAATGTGCCAACCCTGTTCCAGTTTCTCCCTGTGGTGCCTGTTTCAGTTCCTCCTTCTCGCCTAACTTTCTGGACATTGTCTTTGGGTAGATGCTGTACCTTTGATCTTAAATAGTGGATTGTTCTGTAACAGGAGTGGGTTCACCGGAGTTCCAGCTTGGAGGTGTGGCTGCAAAGTGACCTCCAAAGTTCTGTCCTCTGCCTTCTGGAAACTTGTATGCTGATATGCCAGGTGTCCCTCACACGCAACCTGCCTCAGTTGGTACATGCTAGACATTATTTCCAATCTTGGCTTCGGGGATCCTTCAAGTAGGCTGTGCTAGAAATCCAGGCTTGGTACCAACTTAGCCCTCACTTTTCTCTTTGTAGTCGATTGGAAAAGATGCCCTACTATTCCATTTGTATCACTACCTACTAAGTTCAGGCTTCTTACAGCTGTCATTGAAGTAGCTTTATAGACACACTCATCTTTTCTGTTTCTCCTTTCCCAAGCTGAGTCAGAATGCCTTTCTAAAATAGAAATATGAAAAGGTAACGGTGTCTTGGAAGCTGCAAGCTTATCTTGGCTAAACAGTTGTATTCTGAGCATGGTAACCTGTTGACTTTCCTAATAATGTGTGTTTGGCAGAGAGAGGGGAGCTGTTGGCAAGGCCTCTAGGCTTTCATGTTGTATGTAGTCAGGAGTGCCACTTAGCTACTTACATGGCTCCTTTTAAATTTTCTTGTCTTTTCTCCGTAAACCCTGTGTTCCAAATGTATCAGAATATTTGTTATTCTTCAGTGAAGTTTTGTCTCTTTTGCCTTTTTAACTTTGATCATACTTATTGGAATTGCCACAAATGTTTATCCTCATAAATCAGTTGCTTATTGACAAAATACCCACTACTCCTGTCGAGTTTAGTGTCTTTATATTGTTCTTTGCTGTAAAAATTAAACTATAGGATAATCACATTTTTTAACATGATATAAATAAATATAAGAATTTTTTTCTCCCTCTTAGGTTTCAGTCTGAAAGAGAAAGTGGAGATCGGAATTTTGCAATAGGATATTACTTGAAAGAAAAAAAGGTTTTAATTTTTTTGTTCCTATTTGAAATGATGTTTTTATTTAATATACTATAAATGTGTATGTTAAGAACTGAACAGTAACCATTAAGCAACTGTCTGTCAGAATGTAAAGTGTAGAGATTTTACAAAGCGTCCTTGAGCCCGTGCTATGAACTTGTTTAACAATACTTTAAGTTTTGACTAGTTATATTAATACATATTCTGCTAGATGTTTAGCCCTTTCTCCCCAAAAGTATAATACTTGTTTATTGTTGCTTGTTATTTGATTTTTAAATTTTAAATGGTTCAGTTACATGATATATGAATTATGAATATTTGTTAGCATTAAATTGGAAATAATTTATGTGATGTTATTTTTATTGGCTACACCCTTTTCTTTTATAGGTTACATTATATTTTTAACTGTTGATTTATTTTTTCAGTGTTTTCCAGAAGGCACAGACATGGTTGGTATATTGGACTTCTATTTCCAGGTAATTTACTTTCACTATATAAACTGTATATAAATGGGCATATCACTTATTACAGAATACAAATCTCTCTGAAATCTTTACTCTAGACCAAAAGAAAATACATTTTCCATTGAGGGCATTTAAAAAAAAAATGCCCTAAGTAAAACACCCAGGTACCCATGTTTCCTAAAATTTATGCCTTAGAATGTTGTAAGGAAAAATTTTCTGAAACATGTGTATGAAATGTCTTAGATAATACATAATCTCAGAAATTGGTTTCCCCTAAGCTCTATTTTATTAGCTTTTACATTTTCTTTAGAAGAAGGTGTGTGCCTTCATATTTAGCAGTGTAAAGTGGCAGTATCTCAGTTGATTTGTTATCTTTTATAAATTATTAGTACTATATTCTAGCTTAACTGTTGCTAGGAAAATAATTGTCTTGGTCATTTCTATAGTCACATAGTAGGTTTTATCCTTAGGTAAAATACCTCTCTATGTACATGGAGAGGGGTACATTCACATACTGTTGGGCTATAGTATTGAATTCCATTTCAGATAGCCTTCCTGAATACCCTCCCACATGCATATTTTCAGATCAGTTCATTTTCATAGAATTTACACCATTGGTACCACTGCCTGTATTTAAAGCTAAAGTAGGCCATATTGCTGCACTATCTTGTTGACCTTACATTGGACTCTTTTTGTTTTTAAGATGCTTTGATTTTAGCTTTTCTATAATCTTAGAGAAGTTGAAAAGGAGGTTCATAATGTAGATTTTGATGAACACAGTCACCTGATCATATGACTGAAGAACTAGAAATATACTACATCTATATCTGTCTCCTTATCCTGTGCCATTTCTACCAGATTATTTGAAATGATAGTCTTGTTAGCAAACTAAATAGTGCGTAAATCTACACATTGTCAATTTGAAGCACCATGCATCAGAATCCAGAGATTATCTATTTAAAATCCAATCTCTAGTATCACCACTTACTAATCACGTGACCTGATTTCAGTTGCTGAGCTGTAGTTTCATTATCTGTGGCACATACCAGGCCTGTCTTTCCAGATGACAATGATATGAAATGAAGTATGTTCTTAACCCATTGCTATGGCATTGATTCTGATTCACTGGGATCCTACCAAGTACAGTTTCCAAGGCTGTCAATCTTTATGGAAATGACTGCCACTTCTTTTTCCTACAGAGCAGCTGGTGGGTTCATACTGCCTCTCTTTCAGTTAGCAGCCTTAATATTCAACTGAACCATCAAGGCCCTTATATCCAAACCCACTGTCATCAAGTCAGTGTGACTCACAGCAACCCCCTGTGTGTTTCCGAGACTGTTTATGGGAATAGAAAGCACACTCTTAGTCTCAAGGAGCTCCGGGTGGTTTTGAACTGCTAACCATGCATACCGCAACCCCACTCGAAAACACTGCCACCACAGCTCCTTCTTTATAACTTAGGATCTAACCATTCATATTTCTGTAGTTAAGGGTTAAACTCAAAAGATAATCATAGAAGCTATGCTTATTTTTGAGAAGGGCTGTATCTAATTGAATTTCCATCATGATATCAGAAAGTTCCCTTCAGATGGGGCTTGTCAAATTAGGTTTATACCACCTTATGAAAAACATAATTCCAATGTTAATACTAAATATTTATAGTAAGTTCAATATGCTTGGCACTTCTGAAGCTGGAAGAACTGAAGAAAAAGTTCAAACTTTAAAGGTTGCAATACTGAAAGATTCAGTGGGCAAGATGTTGAATGACACTGGGAGTATCAAAAGAAGATGAGAGGAACACACAGAATCTCTATAACAAAAAGAATGTGGTCAATATTTAAACAATGATGAATGTAGAATATGGTCAAGAAGGGCCACTGGTGCTGAAGAAAGAAGTCCAAGCTGCACGGACTGCATTGGATAAAAACAAGTCTTTATCAGACAGTGTAAGATATGACAGACTAATACTAACTTATGAAGATGAGGGGTTCATGAGGGAGTGGGGAGTGAGGGAGGGGAAAAACGAGGAGCTGGTATTAAGGGCTCAAGCAGAAAGCAAATGTTTTGAGAATGATGATGGCAACACATGTACAAATGTGCTTGACACAATGGATGTATATATGGATTGTGATAAGAATTGTACAAGCCCCCAATAAAATGATTTTAAAAAACAACAAATCTCTTGAGGATTGGTGAAATAGCAATTGAGATATTTCAACAAATGGATGCAACCCTGGCATTCCAAGGAAAGATGACCCAGCAGCATTGGGAAATTAGCAAACAGTGTCAGAATAGGACTTGGAATGACATCATTGCTGATGTCAGATAGATCTGGCTGAAAGTATCAGAAAGATGTTTACCTGTACTTAGTGTGAATCATAACAAATAATGGATAACATTGCAAAGAATGGGAATTTTAGAGAATTTTTTTATGCTTACACAAAAACTTCTCTTTAGACTAATAGGCAGTCATTCAAGTAGAAGAAAGGGATATTGCATGGTTTAAAATAGGAATGATGTATGTTAGGGTTATATTTGTTTACTATACTTACTAATTGAGCAAATCTGAGAAACTGATCTATATTTTGATACAAGTAACCGGTATATGGTGGTTTGGGTACCAGTTGTGTCTTCCTGTCAAAATGTAGTATAGCACACTATGCTAATTTTTTTAACATGGTGTAAAGCAAAGAAGAAAGTACTTGTAATTTATGTAGAATTTTTTTGTGTGCATTCCCAGGCTCTAAAAGCCACCCAAAGTTAATAGTGACATACCATACAGACACAGTTCAGAGATACCAAGACTGGGTGCTAAGACCCTATGTGTAGTTCCTGGGAAAGGAGTATGTGCTGTCACTCCAGCTACTTAGGACATGCCGCCCTTTAGCGGCTCCTGCAAACCAAGGGTTTACTATGAGGTTTTCTTTTTGCCCATTTTTTTTTTTTTAACATTGTATTAGGGGCTCATACAACTCTCATCCCAATCCATACACACATCAATTGTGTAAAGCGCATTTGTACATCGTTTCTCAACATCATTCTCAAAACATTTTCTCTCCATTTAAACCCCCAACATTAGGTCCTCATTTTTCCCCTCCCTCCCCGCTTCCCCCTCCCGCATGAGCCCTTGATAGTTTATAAATGGGTATTTTGTCATATCTTGCCCTGTCCGATGTCTCCCTTCATCCACTTTTCAGTTGTCTGTCCCCCAGGGAGGAGGTCACACACAATTCCATGTAATCGGTTCCCTCTTTCCTACCCATTCTCCCTTTACCCTCCCTGTTTTGCCACTCACACCACTGGTCCTATAGGGCTCATCCATCCTGGATTCCCTGTATTTTCAGTTCCTATCTGTACCAGTGTACCTCCTCTGGTCTAGCCAGTCTTGCAAGATTGAATTCGAGTCATGGCAGTGGGAGCGGGGAGGAAACCTTTAGGAACTAGAGGAAAGTTGTATTTCTCATCATTGTTACATTGCACCCTGACTGGCTCATCTCCTCCCCGAGACCCCTATGCAAAGGGATCTCCAGTGGCCTACTAATGGGCTTTGGATCTCCACTCCGCACTCCCCCCATCCTTCACTATGGTAAGATTTTTTGTTCTGATGATGCCTTACACCTGATCCCTTCGACACCTCGTGGTTGCATAGGCTGGTGTGCTTCTTCCATGTGGGCTTTGTTGCTTCTGAGCTTGATGGCCACTTGATTACCTTCAAGCCTTTAAGACCCCAGACGCTATACTTTTTGATAGCCGGGCACCATCAGCTTTCTTCGCCACATTTTTTTTGCCCATTTTTTCATGATTTTTTAAAATCATTTTTTGGGGGGTTCTTACAGTTTTTATCAGAATCCATTTATACATCCATTGTGTCAAGCACATTTATACATATGTTGCCCTCATTTCTTTTATTTTTATTTTATTGGGGGCTTGTACAGCTCTTATCATAGTCCGTACATCCATCCATTGTACCAACCATTAAGCATACTTGTACATATGTTGACATTATATTCAAAAGATTTTCTTTGTACTTGAGCCTTGGTATCAGCTTATTTTTACCCTCTCACTCACGAACCCTTCATAATTTATCTTTTTTTTCCATATCTTATACCAGTGGCTATCAACCTTTCTAATGCCGTGACCCTTTCATACAGTTCCTCATGTTGTGGTGACCCCAACCATAACATTATTTTCATTGTTACTTCATAACTGTAATTTTGCTACTGTTATGAATCATCATGTAAATATCTGATAGGCAGGATGTATTTTCATTGTTACAAACTGAACATAATTAAGGCTTAGTGATTAATCACAAAACAGTTATTATATATTGTGAAATATTTATTTCTAATGACAAATAAATGAAATTTTGTCTTGAAGCATGGGTAACAGTCTTCACGCTGGGTAGTTGTATGTGGGTATGTCTGCATGTGGGCGTACCCGCCTGGAGATGGATAGAGGAGCGGTGTCTCGGTTCCTAAGACCATCAGAAATAAGTGTTTTCCAATGGTCTTAGGCAACCCCTGTGAAAGGATCCTTTGACCCCCAAAGGCGTCGCGACCCACAGGTTGAGAACTGCTGTCTTACACTGACCGCTGTCTCCCTTCACCCACTTTTCTGTTGTCTATCCCCCTGGGAAGGGGTTATATGTAGATTATTGTGATCAGTTCCCCTATTCTCCCACAGCCTTCCCCTTCCCCTCCTGGTATCTCTACTCTCATTACTGGTTCTGAGGCATTTAGCTGTCCTGGATTCCCTGGGTTGCAAGCTCTTATCTGTACCAGTGTACTTGCTCTGCTCTAGGCCAGATTTGTAAGGTAAAATTGGGGTCATGATAGTGAAGGGGAGGAAGCATTAAAGAACTAGAGGAAAGCTGTATGTCTCATCCGGGGTATACTGCACCCCGACTGGCTTGTCTCTTTTTTGTGACCCTTCTGTGAGGGGGTGTCCTCTTGTTTACAGATGGGCTTTGGGTCTCCACGCTCCCCCTAATTCACATTGATATGGACTTTTTGTTTTGGATCTTTGATGCCTAATACCTGACCCTGTTGACACCTCATGATCACACCGGCTGGTGTGCTTCTACCAAGTGGGCTTTGTTGCTTCTCAGCTAGATGGCCACTTATTTATCTTCAAGCCATTAAGACCCCCAGACCCTATATCTTTTGATAGCTGGGCACCATCAGCTTTTTTCGCCACATTTGGACCTGTTTTTCATAAAGACTAAAATCCTCTCTTGATTTATTTGGGTAGCGAAACAATTACTAATGAAGGTCCTTTATACACGTGAAGTGGCATATATAGCAAACTTTGGGAAATAGGGAGTACTTGTGCCAATAAGGACCAGTTTCCAGAGATGGAGATCATGCTTAGAAGATTGGTGAAAAGAGGAACATCTTCAACACCACCAGTTGGGAGGATGGTACAAGACAGGCAGTGTTTCAGGCTGTAGTACATAAGGTCACTGAGTCACAACTGACTCTGGCACCTCAAAACAGGAACTGATATTTGGAAATTAAAATTTTTTTGTTTCATTTAAAAAAATCTTTATGATTAAACTGACCGTTTGACACATCAAAATAAACAATAAAAGTGTTAGAACTTTGGCCGATTGAAACCTTTGGAGTTTCTTCATGTTTTATTTTAAAATTCCTTTGAAATAAAGATTTCTGATTTGTGTGAAAGAGCAAATACAGTATATTAGAAATCAACTTAATACTGAAAATAATATGAACAACACTTTTAGAAGTCACTTTGTTTCTGTTTCAGCTTTGCTCCATTGAGGTGACTTGTGAGTCAGCTAGTGTGATGGCTGCAACGCTGGCTAATGGTGGTTTCTGTCCAATTACCGGTGAAAGAGTATTGAGCCCTGAAGCAGTTCGAAATACCCTGAGTTTGATGCATTCCTGTGGCATGTATGATTTCTCAGGGCAATTTGCTTTTCATGTAAGTAATTATTAATCTTTCTATTCTCTGGCAAGAATCTAGTGTGGAGTGGTTCTCTTAAAAATACAATTTGAACTTTGTTTTTAAGGCTGTACATTAATTTTTTAGAGACTTGTTTTTAAGGTTAATTTGTTATAGAATTATTAGGTACCATAGTTAAAGTAGTCTCTCAGATATTCTCAAGAAGTTGAAATTTTAATTTCTAGAACCATATCATTTCAACTTTTAAGGCATTTCAGTGTACAAGGTTAGTACAGATGTCCTGTATTTTTCATTGTTAGCATTTAGCAATTACATACCTAAAGTTCAAGAAGAGTTTATAGATCTGATGTTTAACACTTTGGGCACAACCATAGATGTTTTAAAGGACTGAGTGTATATTAAAGTTAAAACCTTACCAAAAATATACTCTGAAAAAAATATATATATATACTCTGTTGTATGTTTTACACTTATAAAATGTCCAACTCATTACTGCTATTCCAATGGTTTGTGACCCTAAAGCATAGTAGAACTACCCCAAAGGGTTTCCAGGCTGTAATCTGCAGAAGAAAATTCCATGTATTTCTTGATAGGATTAAGCCACCAACCTTTGAGCTGTCATTAACTGTATGTGCCAAGACTCCATTGTAAAATGGACTCCTTTGTAAGATGTCTAGATTTTCTTATCTGATTCTGATAGGTAAAGTCGAAGGACTTGGGTGGCACGGTAGGTTAAACATTGGGCCACTAACTCTATGGTAAGTGACTGAACCCATCAGTTGTGGCTGTATGTTCCCACGGAATTGACATTCTCAGAACCTATAAGGAACAGTTCTACATAGTCCTATATGTAGTGGGAATGGATTTTTTGGACAATTCATAATATACTTCTGAAACCTTTTAATCTGGACATTTCACAAACAAAAAAGAGATTTCTTAACAAATTCAATGCATTCATCACTGACCTTCCTGAATTATGTTGTTAATTACATTTATTCCATTTTCCCTTATATTTCTTGTAAATTGGTAGATCCAGTGCAGGTGGTTTCTTGTTTTGTTTATTTTTGTACGGGATTACCTCATAGGCACGCTTCATTTGAGGTACTCAGTATCGAAATACCCATCATCCACTAATGAACAGTGTTCCAGTGACATTAATTTTGTCTCCTAGCAATAAGTGTTGTATAATGTAGCATATAGGGTTTACATAACATGAACATAATGTTTCTTTGAAGAGAATTATTTGACTTATCATTTTTCAGACATTTCTCTGACAATGTATCACAGATAATTTGGGAGGAAAGACATATTTCACTGTTGTCCAGTTGTAAACTTTTATTGAAAATAATTTTATATTTAAAAGAAGTACATGTTCATTTTAGAAAAATTAGATAATTAAAAAAAAGAAAGATAAAGGAAAAACATTCATAAACTATAACATAGATATAATGTACATAACTCTTGGATTATATCTTCAAAATACTTTCATATAATTTAAGTATATCTCAAACTGTCTTTCCTTTATTATTTTATAAAAGGTCAGTAGATACCTCCAGTCTTCTTTTTAATATGGATTTCTAGGGTATGAATATATTTTATATTTTATTAACCAAGCCCTTATTCTTTTTGTGGACATTGTCTCCACAATATTATTGACATGTAATTCACATATCATACATATCAGTAGTTTAAACATTTTAAGAAGAGTTGTACAATTATTATAATCAATTTTAAAACATTTTCTTCTGTCTTGTATTCATTATTATTTCCTCCCCATTTCCCCCAAACCTTCCCTCCCCATAAACTATTAATCCAGTTACTGTCTCTATATATTTATCTGAGTTTCATATAGAGAAAAACATTTAAGAATAAAAAGCAGAAGACCCAATTACAAAATAGAAAAACCTCCACTGAAAAGGTAACAGAAAATAATAAAAACTAGAACAAATTAAAAATGGGTGAAAGGGAGAAAAACTGCTAAGTCTTAAACTATAACCCACCGGTAACTACATGTGCATTAGTCCAATTTCAAATACACTTTTATAGCAAGGCTACTCATATCCCTTTTTGGTTAATGGTCAGAGGGAATTCACTGAAGGCTTAATCCAAGTGGGGACCCTGCAAATGGATTTTGGACTTCCACTGTCATCCATGCCCTTCTGAAAATTGGAGGCTCAGAATTTAAGTTCTAATATGGTTTCCTCCTCTTGGATTGGTTGTGGGTTTTATTATTTGCAATCCTTTGGATCCCCCAGGTTGATATATTTCTTCTATGTGGACTTAACCGTTACCTCACTTTACATGGCTGTTTTGAGGCAAGTCTTTAAAATTCCAGATGCTCTAGTCTAATAGCCAGGTATCTTCTGGGGTTTTTTTTTGTTTTTTTAACCACACTTCTCGATAGCACCCGTATTTTCAGCGGGCAGGCTAAAGTAGGGCCGTGCCATAAGAACTGTCATAATTGTTCTTAAATTAGGGATATGATTACGCATGGGCTGAAAATCCATTTATCTATGTTTTGTATATGTCCTTGGTCCATTTTAGAAACATTATCCTTTTATTTGGGAACATTGTAAATCATCCCTTTAGGGCATGTGGTACTTCTAGTGATAGGATCAATAGTTTAGCTATTGTGGTAGAATTCTAAATACTACTGGGATAACTTATTTTAAAATGGTGACATAAGTGTGTTTCCCACCCCACCCCCAACTTTTTTTTTTTTTTAGGTTGGTCTTCCTGCAAAATCTGGAGTTGCTGGGGGCATTCTTTTGGTTGTCCCGAATGTGATGGGCATGATGTGCTGGTCCCCTCCTCTGGACAAGATGGGCAACAGTGTTAAGGGAATTCATTTCTGTCATGTAAGCATATTTTCTTAATGAAAAAAATAATGGTCAAATAAGCTGAGCCATCCATTGATTCTCTTTTGTACCCGTCCATTTTTTTTTTAATGCTTGTTTTTCTAGCTGTCCAGTTGCCGGCATGTTCCAGAGACTCTCAGACAACTCCTATAAAATCATTCTCACAAGTTGTGTGGTGTTTTAGAATTTTCAGTTGTAATTTGGTTTTCGAGGCTTTGCAAAAGATTCAAAGCTTGGGGGGGAAATTAACTGTATATACTCGTGTATAAGCTGAGTTTTTCCGGCACATTTTTAATGCAGTAAAATCAGGTGCCTTAACTGATATTCAGGTTGGCTTATATCCGAGTATATGCGGTAAAATCCAATGCGGTTGAAGAATAATTACATGTAGTATTAAATTAAAAAATAAATGACGCTTGGGGGAGGTGGGGTGCCAGCCCCCACCGCTAATACTACTATTACTCAACGGGTTCAGTAATACTACTTCTGGGTTCAGTAATGCACAATTGTACGGTTGAGATATATAAGCATTATATTAAAGTCATTGAGAGCATGAGAGACAATACAATAATACAGTCAGGCATGATACATAGCAACATTGCTCACCTCAGCCCAGCTTGGTCCATGTGGAGAGGGGGAAGGGAAGGAGGGGAAGGGAACAAGGGAGAGGGGAGTGACCAGTGAGTGAGCAGCAAGGAGCTCAGGGTCAGAGAGAGAAGTCCTGCTGACTCACACCTATATACCTTTTGGGGGCAATCCAGCCCACTAATTACAGGTAAAGACATACATCACAGGAAGGGGCTGCACTATAGGTTACACAGCAATGAGAGGGTGGTCTAGGGGGTGGTCTCTGGGTCTCCATAGGAACATTATCAGTAGGGTGCAAACCCCTCCTACAGGAGCCTGTCCATTGTCCCCAGAGGCAGGGAGCAGGCCCACCCCTGTGGAGGGATGAGACAGCAGTCTGGCAACTGATTCCCTCAGGGGAGGGAATGCCTGCGCATCTGACCTCCCCCCACAATTACAGTTTATTTTAGCACCTTTAATCCACATGACTGAGTGATTTTATTTATAAATTACTTTTTATATAAGTATATAGTTGCTTTTATATAAAATCTTTGGCAGAAATAGGTACGACCTTTATTTACGTTGGTGATATGTAATTCTAAATATCAACTGCAGGTTGGAGAGGGCTATAAGCAAAAGGAACTGACTTCTTAGAAGTGAAGCTACTCTTAACTCAAACCTAGTGCCAATGAGCTGATTCTGACCCATAACAACCCTCGAGGGCAGAATGGAAGTGCTGCCTAGGGTACCCAGGGCTGTCGGTCTTTCTGGCAGCAGAAAGCTTGTCCTATGGGCAGCTGGTGGGTTGGAATTGCTGGCCTTGCAGTTGGTAGCTCAATGTGAACTGACACAACCACAAGGCTTCCCGGCTCTTGTCTAGGGCCATAGTTTATATTTTATGAGGTTTCCCAATTCTCGCTAGTATTTAAGCATCGGCTTTTATTTATATTTAGTATTTCCTCAAGCCTGCTTTGAGTACCATATTTTTCCTTCAGACTCTTCCAATTAAAATTACGATTTACTTTTCAATTTTATAAATATTACAAACTAGAGAATGATTTGAAGTCATATGGAATGTACAGTATAAAGTATAATATAACTATAATGTTATGTTTTTATTATGCTTTACAATCATTTAATATCTTTTGATAGAAGAATTCTTTCATTTGGCCTGTTTAGTCATGATTTTATAGAATATGTTAGTTAGACAGTTTGAGTGGCTGAGGTCTGGTATAAGCCAAGCTCAAAACTTGTTTGCATTTCCTATTCTAATTTCAGTTCTCTTCTCAGTGTATGATATTGCTCTGCTAAAATGCAGTGTTGAGTTCTGTGAGATGGGGTTACCATAATTTGTTGGAACACAATTAATTAATAGCCAGTGCACAGCCAGTTTCTCATTCATGTTCTGTTTGACTATTTACAGGATCTTGTTTCTCTCTGCAATTTCCATAATTATGATAATTTGAGACACTTTGCAAAAAAGCTTGATCCTCGAAGAGAAGGTGGTGATCAAAGGGTAAGGAAATCTTTTACTTCAAATTTTAGAAAATGAGATTGGGTTGCTTAAATAAAACAATTGTTTTAGTGTTAGCATACCTTCCCTAATCAAAAATAAGTATAAAAAAAAGTATTAGCATTTCATCCTAGACCAATAGTACACAGATATTGAATATTGTTGCTTTATTAAGAGCAGGGTCCCTCCTCCAGTTTTAAGCAATATTTTTAGAATTAATTCTTAGTAAAGAAGCCACAGTGAATAGTGCTAAAGCTATTAGTGTAACTAAAAAGAAAGTCATGCTTTTTATTCATGTTTATCAGTTATAGTCCTGAGCTGAAGTCTATTTTAATTCGTTAATTCCTATGTAAATGAGTATATGAATGGAGAAGGGATGTATAGTATTAGTGAGAAACTTTATGAAGCCTCATTAAAATTTTTTGTAGTATTGTCCTATAAAAGTTTTTAGTGTGCTATTTTTGTTACTCATATTATAAAATAGTGTTTGTTAGCAGTGGATTTAGCGTCATATTGTACACATGTTGTACACTTTAAAAAATGTTTTGGAGCTAGTATTAAGAGTTAAATTTTAAATTTCTTGGACAAGAATGTGGATTGTATAGTTCATTGGACCAAGGGACATGTATGGAGAATTTTCATTCCACTCTTTTGCATATCATATAGAAAATGTTAGTAAAATTATCTATAAAGAAATTTAAAGCTAAATATTAAAATATTTTAATACACGCTAAGTAAATTTTTCTGTCATTAATTTCAATCTAAGTAACTTCTGATAACGTGAGAATTATACAAAGCCTGGCAGCATAAAAACTTCCATGGAAGTCTACATGAGTAGCATGGAACAAAATGTCAAATGGTGGTGGGTGAAACTGTTAACATATTTTAATAACATTCATTGAAAAATACCGTTTTGTAGCTTGGACCTTTCTTCACTCAAGTGCACTAATAAATTATATATGTTGCTTGAACAACTAGCATTCCTTTGGACCATTGGACTATGAAAGTCTCCAGCAAGAACTTGCTTTAAAAGAGACAGTATGGAAAAAAGTGTCACCTGAGTCAAATGAGGACATCTCTACAACTGTAGTCTATAGAATGGAAAATCTGGGAGAGAAAAGCTAAAGGAAGGAGGTGTAGTTTCAGAATGTTCTTCACTTAAGCTTTCAAACATCGTTAGCTTTTTGCATACTATAACTATTTATTTGACTTTCTGTGTGCTTGTTCTCAACCTTGGGTGCTGCTGCGGTAAACCTCTTTTTCCTTTTAGTCTCTCTGTAAAGATAATAGATAAGAAGTAGAGTTAGTAAAGTATTTGCAAGTAAATAAAGCAAGCTGCTTTATTTTAAAGAAATAAAGACAAAAAAGGAAAATTCTTTTTAGTTTTTTCTTGGCATCATTGAAATTTTGGACTATATAATTAGGTAAAACAGTACCAGAAAATTATTTCGTACACTTAAACCCCCCACATTAAACTTCTAAATTTGATTACCTTTTTTTCTTCTCCAGTTTAAAACTGACATGATGTCTCTAATGGCAATAGAAAGATTCTGTGCTAAATATATACCTGAAGAAGGGAAAATAAGGAACCCACATTATTTTACTTAATATAGGAAAATTATAAAATATAGTAAATTATAAAATTCAATTTACATTTGTACTACTTTTAGTGATAGATTAACTTTATATTTTTAATGTTTATTTTGAATTTTATCAAATATCACCTAGTTATTTAATCCAATTAAATAAAAGTCATTTCCTTGCTCATTTTACTTTATAACCTCTATGCTCATATGTTCTGTTAGAATTGCCATATACGGAGTGTCTTTTATTACTCAAACATTTCAGCCAAAGAATTTCCCATTAGAAAAAAGTACATGTTCATTGTTGAAAAGCTATAGTGGTTAGTTACCCATAAGGAAAAACTGTTTTTAAATGAAATGTTCACCTGAACAGTTTTATTTTCCTATTACCCACTTAGCATTTTCTATGTTATATTTCTGAATGACAAATTTTGGTGTTTTTTAATGACTTCATTATCTCAATAATTTTACAAATCCTAGTGTGTATTTTTTTAAGATAATTTATAGCATCTCGAAGTTTGTTGTAACTGAATTTTGGAGTACTTGAGAAATTATTCAGTCTGTAAGTAGCTAAGCATACTATTAAAATATCTATTAGACTTTTATCTTTTTGTTCAGTTATAAAAATATTAGGAATAAAACTTATTTTTAAGAGAAGAAACTGTATGTTCTGTACAACATGATTTTAAATAACAATATTTCAGTACCTAAAGTCTGTCTTGGCAAAGTGATAGTAAAATTCTGTAGGAACCATTCAGATTTCTTCCTCCACATACCTCTCTAGCTTTCCCCAGTATATCAAGTTTTAACTCATTGTTAGACATGAAAACTCTTTGTTTGTGGTGGGAGAATTAGGAGGAGAACTTGGTAGTGTTTTAGTATTGTGGCCTCTATGGAGATTAGGATGAAATCTATAAAATGTAAATATAGTATACCCAAAACTGTTTCACTAGATAATTTAGATACTATTGTAAATAGAGAAAATCCTGGTCATTTGATGCTATCAGTTTGGGGACTATGATGTTTGGAACACATGTCTCATCTAAAGGTGCTGGTAAAAAAGCCTGTGTGGCCAACTTAAGTATTAAACTGATCATTTTAAATGATTTGGTCTTGGAGGAATTTGCCAAAGACTTTACGGTTACTTGAGTGTTCTAATGTACAGATGGACATCCTAGCTGGACATCCTAACTGTTGTGGTCATTTACAGTAGAATAGTGTTGCTTCATGACCTTGCCACACTGTACTTTTGGACAGTGTCATATATGTCTTATTTCTGCAAATGATTTGCTGTTTGGGGCAAGAGAAAGTCTAAATAGTTTGGGAGGAAAATTTTAACATTCCCTATGCTCTAAATTCTAGATTTAGTTCTTTCATAAAAGTTGACTTTGTAAAATAAAAATATGGTAAAATGACTGTTAGTAAGACAGTAAAACAAATTGTCTTCTGAATAACAATTATATTTAATGTTTCATATTGTGAGCGTATTTGTTTAGATTTCCAAATTTGGTTCATTTTAATTTGTAGGACTTCTAAATATTTCTAAACATTTCAGCATGCTTACAATTAGCGTTATGTAAGATACTGTGTTTATAGTTAGAATGTCTGTGTTTATAGTTAGAATGTTTATAGTTAGGATGTTAGAATGTCTATCTAGAAAATGAAAGATGAGCTTTAATGATGTTTTTGTTGAAAGAAGGTATAAATGGAAGAAGGGAGACATTGTGAATAAGCTATCAAACAATACATTAAAGAAAAGAAAAACTTTGCCAGACCTAAGGACATTTTGAGTCTTTCAGTACTTTTTATACTTTTTCAAATAAACTTGAAAAGTACTCAGTTTTGTTGGGTTTAACCTCTAATGCCATGCACATTCTTGATATTCAAGCATTTAGCAGTTAGCATATTTGTTTTTCCATGGGGGCCATCATTAACATTTCATTTGAAATGCAAATTATTCCTGAAATACGTTGTTTTTCAGCATAAATGTTGTGCATTTTATCTTAGTATTTGGATGAAAACATTTGTATTGTTTGGCTTTCTTTCATTTGCTTTGTGTATTTAATAATTGCCTTTTATTTTCTAGTCTGCTTATTTTTGTATTGTACAATAAATTTATTTTAAGCTGATTTTATTGTTTACTTTTGTTTTTGTTTTGCTTTGATGAAAGAAATTCCAACATTTTAAATACAATAAGCAATTAGAATTTTAGCCTTTAAAATTCATTTTTTATTATTTGTAAAGATATTAAACTAAGGCTGTTGTGAAGAGAAATTAGAAATATTCAAAGGGACTTCATTTGATATTTATAATTTTAAAAATTCGGAATAATGTTGATTAGCTTTTAGGGGAGGGCAGTTTTTTATTGGCTGTACAAAAAATGTTTAAATAAAGTCTTGACTCCAATTTTTTGTTGTTTTTCCATTTCATAAGGTTTTTTTGTTTGTTTTAAGTACATCCTATTTACAGGTTCAGTCTGCTTTCTGCGGAATACTACTAACGTTAATATTTAACCTTGTTTTGTTTGATGTTATCAGTTGGAGGTGCCTTGCCCTCTCCCTTTTTTGCTTTAAAGGCAAGAAAACTTCCCATCAATTAACAGTTTAGTTATAAGTATTGAACTCTTCAAATTGTTTAGCACCTTGCTTTCTTAGTAATATTTACAGTTGATCTTTTTCTTTTCCATTTGATAGACTTGGTTGGTCTGTTTTGTGGTTTTCTTTGGAGAGACTTGTGTAATTTTTGTAATCAGCATAATTTGTAGTAGTTAGTCACTACAAGTTAATTTTGCAGACTGATTATTTTTCTAGTAAGCAGCCTTATGCCACATTTATATTAAAAACAGGATTCGAAGTTAATTTTGTAATTACATAGTCATTCTAAAAACAAAACAATACCCTGGAACCTTTGAAAGAAAATAAGGGTAGAAGAAACCTGACTCTAAAAATAGATGTTGCCCCATTGACTTTTATACATTGATTCCTTTTGGGGAAGGGTAAATATACATAAAAGTGTTATATAAGTAAACGGCTATTCAGGTTCTAAATAAATGTTCGCTAAAGGGGAAAAGGGTGTTTGTTTTTTTTTCTCCCAAAGTCATCTAATGTTTTGCAAAACATCTAGCTACTTCCCCCTTTTCTCTTTTTGTGTGATGTTTGCATTTATGAATGTCCTTAGACTAAGACCCTTGATGCTTCCGACTGTACTGCTATTCTTCTCTTCAGTGTCATTCTGCGTCAGAATGAACCATTTTCTCTAGCAGTCTTCCTTTACACAAATTTTGAATTTTTTGCTCAGTTAACTTTTTGAACCAATCAGTAAGCTTAGGAAGAAATGTTTATTTCTATTTCTGAAATGCATTTTAAGTTTTTAAAACGTAATCTTGATTTTAGAGATGCCCCGATGGTTCAGCAAATAAGC